TTGTTCTGTAATTTTTCCACTTAGAGAATAGCCTTCCTGTGTCCTACATAAAACACATATTTAGTTACTGTGCTTTTGATTGAGTTCACAGTTCACCTAATGGAATGAGATATTTCATTCATCCATTAATAAATATTTGAGAGCCTGTTATGCACTAGGCTCTGTTTTAGTTGCTAGAGATATAGTCGAGAACAAAAAAAGAGAAAGACCTGCCTTTATGGATCTCCTGTTTTAATGAAGGATAAACACAAGAAGAAGCAGTGCTGTGAAGAAAAAAAGTGTCAAAGGGAGAGAGAAAGAAAGAAGCTGCTGTTTTAGACAGTGTGGCCTGTGATGGCATCTCTTAATGACCTGAATGAAGTGAAAGTTGCAAGTTTTGGTCATATCTGGGCAAATGCATTTTATGCAGAAAGAAGAAGAAATATACAGATCCTGAAATGAGAATATGACTTGCATGGTTGAGGAATAGCAAAGAGGTTGAATGGTAGAGGATGAAGGGCCAGATATTTGTTATATTCCAAGTATAGGAGGGTTTTGAGCAATAGAGCAACATGAGCTGACCTAGGTTTTAAAATGATCACACAGGCTGCTGGATGGACACTAGACTGTTAGGTAATTCTAGTAGCCTGTGAAGAAATGGGGATGGCTTGGGCTAGGGAAACAGTGAAGGAGCTGGTGAAGAGCACTCCAGTTTGGGTCTGTGTTAATAGAGTAGGCAAGATTTGATGACAGATTCGTGTACAGATTAGACAAAGTGAGGGGTAATATTAACCCAGAGTTTTGGGATGAGCATCCAAATGGAAGACAGTGCTATGTACTGATCTGGAGAAGTGTGGGTTTGAGGTAGAGAGGTTACAGTTAGAGATAATAAATGGGGACTCATCTGCTTAGAGATGATGTATGCAGTTCTGGTGGTAGATAATATCACCTAGGGAGGCCATGTAGAAAAAGAAATCAAATCCCAGTATTAAATATTGGTGCTTAAACATTTAAAGGTTCAGAAGAGGAAGAGGATATAGCAAAGGAGAGTTAAGGAGTGGTTGGTGGTAGAGGAGAACCAAGGAAGCATGATATCCAGAAAGAGAAATGGGTGCTACTTCATCAAATGGATATTTTCTTGTTACTAGAGACTTCTTTCTAATTTCACATTTCCAGTTTAAAAGTAGGTTTAAATCCAAGGAAAAATGACATAAGTGTAATTTTTATCATCACTATTTTGTAAGTTCTTTTTATTGGTAGTAAGTAATTATTTTGGAGAAAGAACTAATTCAGGTACGTGTGAATAGTCTTTAAAGTTGGCTTAATTTATTACATATCTTTGTTAAAATTTTAGTAACTGGTAATTTGTCTATATAAGTGATAAGTTGTATGTAGTTGTGATAGTTCTTAGTGTGTTTTGTTGCTCAAATATACATCGAAAAATGGCTAACATGAATTGTCTATTGTACAAATCACTGTTAAAACTATAATAGACTAATAAGATAATTTTAAGATACTGTAGATTATTTGCTGACACCTAAGAATAAATATATTTTATCAAAATTACTTGTTCTAAATTTCATAATATTTTAATGTAAAAGATGTGTCAAGAGGTAATGTATACTCATTATTTATAGATATATTAAAACCATCATATTATACTTTATGATATTTTCATAATAATGCATGAGCAATTTGCCCAAATTTATTACTAAAGGTCTATTTGTAAGATTAGATTCTTCTGGGACAACAAAAAACTCTAAAGCCTCTTAAACAAAATAGAAGTTTATTTCTCTTATATAAACATAGCACTCCTAGAAGTGTTATGGGAATTTTCATGAATCTAGGCTCCTGTGTTATTCTGCTATCCTTAGCACCTAACTTCTGTCTCATGATCATAATACAGCTGCTTCAGTATAGCCATCTCATCTGAATTCCAGCAAGCAGGAAAAAGGTAAAGAAGATCTTCCCTTTTAAAGGATACTTCCCGAAACTGTACATACCAATTTTGCTTTACATTTCATTGGCCAGACATTACGCACTTGGGCACACACATGTACAACTATAAGGAAGGCTAAGAAATTTAGTTTTTTTACTCTGTACAGCCCTGTGCCTATCTAGCATTTGGGAGTTCTGTTGTTAACAGGAAAACAGGTGTTATTGTACAACTACAAGTCTCTGCATCACAGGCCTTTTGGACAATAAGGAGAAATTGATTTCACAGCAATGTATTTTTTCCTGTATGTTATCTAATATACAATAGAATAATTCTCTTACGTTTTTTAATGGCTGAATTTGCCCTATAACTAGACATACACACCTTTCTCTGTATTATGTTACCAAGGGGAAGTCGTTGTCAGATAGACATTAAGAGTGTGGAGCCAAACTGCCTGGGTCCAAGTCCTGTCATAGCAATCTGCAGTGCTATAACCTTGGGCAAGGTTTTTCACCTTTTGTGGCACAGTGTCTTCATCTTCAAATGGGAAGCTGATATGATAGTACCTAACTCATAGGATTGTTGTGAGGATTAAATAATTGGTTATAAAGAACTTAGAAAAGTTTCTGGCACATAGTGAGCCCTCAAATGTTAGTTGTTATCAATTGGCGGGTCCTTAGTGAGAGTAGTCTTAATACTATCCTAAGTAAACTATAACTGTAAAAGTTAACTTGTAAAGATGCATTGATAGTTTCACTGTAGTAGAGGGAAAGTAGTTGGGTAATTTTAAAATAGTCTAAATTTGTTTATTTCGTTTTGGAGTATTTTATTAGCTATATTGAGAGATTTTCCAGTTTGGAGATCTATATTTTAGAACATACTTTGTACTTTTGTGTATATATGTACAAATATATATCCATTTGCAAATAGGCATCTGTCTTTTGAACTTCCACATGTGGTATGCCTTTTAAGTCCCTTCAGAGCCAAGAAGTCAAAAAACGATTAGCAATAAAGTATTTTGTTACCTGTGCCTTGGGATAAATAAAGTGAACAATGAATCTGTTAGAGGATAATTACATGGCAATTGAAAGTTGAGTGTTTTTTGAAATAGAGGAAGGCGTTAGGGTTTTGCTCAGTTTACCTTCCTAGGAAGTCTTGCTTGAATCCCTGGACTTGGTTAACTACTCCTTTGTGGTTTTAATATAGCACAATGTACATAATTCTTTCCATACTTGGCAGGTTATATTGGAATTGTATATTCGTGTCTGCACTACAACATCATAAGCAGAGACTGTCTCTCTCACTCATATTCTCAGCCTCCCACACACTGTCAGCATGCAGAAATTAATGAACTTGTTATACTGAACAGCATCACAGGTTGCCACTTTCACAGGAGTTTTTATTTTCAATCTCAAGTCAGAAATAACAGTAATTCTTTTATTGGCCTTATATTATTCTGTAAATGTGGTCATCTGCAACAAGATGTTTAAAAATAGGCATATTTCCAAAATAAGCTATGCTAACTTCAGACACAGTAATGCTCTATGCTATTGAAATCCAGTTTAGGACAGCTCTGCTTCCTAACCTTTGTATCTTGTACATTTCTGTGCATGTTCTCCTATTTCTCACTCCATACTAAGACACCACAATTTCTAGGATTTTAGATTATGACAACTTTATTTAAGAGCTCATTTAGTTAACTAATGTCATACTGCATGAAACTCAGGAGTAAATAAGAAGTGGTAAATTGTCCTTTGAAGGACAGTAACATTTATTTTAACTCTGGAGTCTAAAAAGAAAATGTGCTATGGTAAAGTTAGAACTCCAATGAAGTGTGTGTGTGTGTGTGTGTGTAAATGTCAACATTGGATTATCTTTGCCACTCGCTCTTACATTGGTAAATGATCAAGTTCTTTAACTTCATAATTAAATCAAAACCAAACAAACAATGTCCATCTTGTATGGGATATTTGAATATAATAAAGGGCCCTAGAAGTGTAGAGTGCTTGCAGAGGTAGTAAAGGAAGATGCAGCTAGTCTGTACTCCTTACTAATCATTGTCAAAGCCATTTAGGTATTTATTGGTCACCTTTCTGGTGGCAATACATTATATGCTATCCAGTGTCTTTTTAAAGGGACTGTGCTGAAAGTTGCTAAAATGCAATCTCACAGACATTTAATTTTTAGATTTCTAAATGGATTTTAATGTACCTTTCAAATAGTCTATCAGAGAGCCAGGCATTAGAGAAAAATCTTGTATTTTAATAGACTAAAAACAATGATTAGCCTTGCTGTTGGCATTTAGTCAAATAAACGTTACAGTATAAAAATGCTGGATAAACCATTATATGTTCAGGCATACCTTTTTTTCCTTTTCCACAGCAGTGCAAAGTACTGTTGTCCTATCTGCAATTAGTACATGCTAAATTCTTAAATGAAGAATGACTCAAAGGAAATACTTATGCTACCATGTTCTTAAGCTTTAACATTTTCATTTTTTATATTTTTATTTCATATCATTTATAAACTTTGAACAAGTTAAATTTCCAATAATACTTTTAATAATACATTTAAGGTGTTTTTATTAAATTTCTTTATTTAAATACAATTATATAAAATAATATCAAATTAAAACCGCAAGTCATGATGAGTTTTTGCTGCTTTTTAAAAAGATTTTGGTTGCTTTTTTATTTAGGGATAGACGTTCCTTTCCTTTAAATTTTGGAAAAAGAGATCTGTAGAGAAAATTATGAACAACTTTGAAAATATTAATTTGAACATCCTATGTTAAGTTTTAAAGACTAGAATACCTAAGTTGTTTGTACATTTCGAGGCAAATAGCGTTTATTCTATAGGTATGGCTCCCAAATCACATTGTGCTGTTATGATCTAGGAACTAGAGTTAACTGTTTTTGTTTTCAATTTTCAAAGATAATTTTAGTTAATATACTTTGAGTTAAACATTACCTTTTTAGTTCTTAAGAAATATACTATGCTCAATAATTTCCTCCTTATGCCCCTTCCCTTTTTTCAATTTTTGAATAGCATAATAATCTTCAAACTTTATTTTCCTGTCTTTTTAAAGGTCGATTGAGTTATCCACATCCAGGAACTGACAATCTGTTGATGTTAAATGGTAAGTTGTATAAAACATTTTATTTTTCCAATTGGTTTACATAAATAAAGGTGATTGAATACATTATCTAAACCTTCCCCATATACATGGTAGTCATTTTATAAGAATAAAAATAAAGCTACAGCTCTTCCTGTAAAGAAGGCAGAATTGGGAGTTTGAGTGTATTTTGGCTGGCAAAGTAGTTGAAGTGTTTACTTCAATGATCATAGACTTTGGAGACAGTCCTGAGTTTGAATATTGGCTTCCCAGTTTATGGGTATGACCTTGGTCAAGTAACCTCTGTGAGCTTTAGCTTCCCATCTGTTAAATGGCAATAAAATCTCAAGGCTTATTATGAGAACTAAATGAGGTAATGTTTGCAAAGTGTATAAAATGTATTAACTTAATTTAGCACTTGTGCCTATTTATGTTCAACTAAGTAATATACTGGTGATTCTGCAAATACCGTGGTCACAGTAACTTAATTTATTGTAACTAGAAAGTTTACAACGTGAAGTTCACAGAGTTAGAAAAAGAGTAAATAAACTTTTCATTAAAACATTCTTTCTGTTGGGTAAACATTGTATTCAGAGAGTCACAGCACTTAACATATCCATGACTGTGGGAGCAGACATGGAGGATTAAAATATCCCTCACAAAGGTATTTTTAAATCAGAAGGTGGGTGATGAGCGGGAAGTAGGAAGAAGTAATACTAGAGATAGCATGTACTTTAAAATATGTAATTGTATCATTAGAATGACTTGACTCTTCTATTTCAATGAGAGCTTTGTTGGAAAAAAGATGACAATGAAGTTGGGGGACAAAGGCTGAAAAAAAGACCAATGTAAAACTACACCCTGTGAACTAATATTAAGTAAACATTGTAGAAACAGAAAGGTGGTAATAAAGTCCAGGCTACCTAGATTGTTACGTGGATAGGATTTTGGAATGAAAAAGCAAAGTATCACCTTGCAAATGAGGTCATTGGTTCATTCAGAGTTTGACCGTTAAGTATTGAGTTGCCTACCACATGGCAGCCTAGTCTAAGCATTGGGTTATCTATTAGTGAAGATCGTTAAGGATGGTTAGAGATAGAATTGTCAAGGTATTAACACTGGGGCCAGACTGTGCACTCTAGGCTGAAACCACGTCCAGGCTAGACCTCACAACAGTCCAGTAGGCCAAGTTTATGAATTCAGTGAATCACGATATTTACAAAGACTTTAACCAAAAAGTTACTAGAAATCATATTCCAGGACTGCAACATTTTTTCTACCACAAAATTAAAAAAAACGCATCATTTGAGTAGCTGGCCTCTGAACTCTTAAGTCTATGACTAAAAATTATGTTGTTGTTTGCAAAACGGAAAATAGATAATAATTTTTATTATTCTTGTGGCTTGAATTATAAAATGATGATAGGTTTAGGTAACATTAAATTATTTATATATTGATTCTTCCTTAAATACTTTCCTTTTGAAACATTCTTTGTGGTAAATAAGGATCATTCACATTTCTATTTTAAATTCTATGAAAAGCAATTCAGTTGAAAATTTTGAATTTGCCAGTGTTTCACATATCCAGTTAAAATCCATATGAAGGAAAGTACTCTGAGATAATCTGTTAGATCATTCACAGACATTCTTAGATTGCTAAATGCATATTAATCTAGGATAATTCAGAAGTATATTGTAATCACAATAGGCTATGTCAGTTACATGTGAGCACAGAGCTTAGTAGCTACACTGTTTTTTACAACTTCTGCAACTAAACGTTATTAAACTAATTGATTTCATCAGTTGCTTAAGTCCCTTATAAATAATCCACATATTATATTGAAAGTGTTTTATTACATAGTAGATACAAGCATATTTTATTTCAGGAAAGAGTTGCATCTTGTGGACAAATCTGCTTTTTTATTATGTGAGCCCTCTTCACATTCTGCCCTTTCAGGGCCATGATGCATACTCAGTATACTAAACCATACTGGAAATTCTGAACCTTCTCTGGTAAGGGACTGGGAGGATAAAAGATGATGAAACTAGGACATTCAAATATGTTTAAGTCAGCAGAGACAATTTGATCCAAAGAGAAAAAATTTTTTTTGCTCATTTGAGATCATTGGTTAAAAGAGCAAGCAAGAATCAGAAAATTGCTTATATTTATAGGACAAAGACATATTTGAATATGAAAGATTTAAACGATTTTTTGTAGACATCAAGGTTATTGAAGTGAGATGTAGGCAAAAGGCACTAAAACGTAAGGGGAAATATTTTTAAAGCTACTTTTTAACTGTTGTAATTCAACTGTATTCTTAGTGTATTTTCTCCCTGAGAAATATGGGAGTTAAGTGATGTTAATAGCAAGCCTGTGCCTATACTCAATTATTCTTAAATATTTTCAACTGATTAAAGAAGTTGTAGCATCTGCATACATAGGCCTGCTTTTGAAATCATTACATTTTTAGCATGTCACAGATTTAACTCACTATTAGGAAGTTGATTAAATAAATTGTATTGTTTAACCAATAAGCATAACTATTATTATTGACTGTGAAAAATCAATATTTGGTAATAAAATATACATTCGTGTTTTTTTGGTGGCTTAACAGTAGTACATAGTAGTTGGTACTGCAGACTCTGGAGCCAGATTATCTTTTGAGTTTAAACTTGTTTGCTATTTCTAGCTGTGTGACCTTGGGCAGCTTACCTAACTTCACTTTGGCTCAGATTTTTTACCTCTAAAAGAGAGAGAGCATGCTGTCTGCCTCAGGGGAATTGTTGTGAGACGTGAATGATTCATTCATGTAAAATATGTGTTTAGAACAGTTCCTGAAAGTAAAAGTTATCTGTGGCAGTGGGTGATGATGAGCAGTGCCAAAAACGGCTTTGAAAGAGTAAAAATTGTGTCCTGTGAATAGATGAAGTTGGATCTGTTTACTTTGGCTAAAATAAAATTAGAGTAGACCTAACTGATATATAGTGAACAAAGAAGGCTTGTTTTATGTTATTGCAGGGAGAGCCTAACCAAAACTTTGTGAAGGAAGCTGTATAGGGACAAATTTGGATCCATAAAAGCAGTTTCTTAAAGTATGGCGTGCTTGCCCTGTGTTGTTACTCAAGATGACTTTTGATGGTGCACAAATACACGTTAAAGTCAATGTATGACTATTACTATTTAAGGTCATTCCTTAGAAAATACAGAACTGGCAGAAATCTGTGATGTTACAGTCCATTGAATGAAAAGAAATATATAAATATTAATTGTTATACAGATAAGACAAACATTGTAAAGGTTTTATGACCCTATCTTCCTAGTTAATTAGAGTTCTGGTTAAACTTTTAAATATTCTTTTAAGTAAAGGATAAACAGAATGGCATAAAGGTCAGGAAGGTGGTCAAACTATTAGGTAAAACTATGAAGTACTTCTGGCAAATCTTTAACTCTGAGCCTCTTTTAACTCAGTATAGAAAAAGAGGTATAATCCCGCACCCACATCTCATGAAGTTGTATAGATTTTAAAAATTTAAATAAAAAATGCCATGGAAATATAACTGCAAGCAGCTCCTACTTCTGAACAGATCAGATTCCTCAAATCACATGGAAATGAAGTTGAATTGACTGGTGGAGACTGCCACTGTTTCAAATTATATTGGGTTGTCGGAAAAGTCATGACGCATTTTTGCAACGAAAAACAAAAAATACGTCATGACTTTTCCGACAATCCAGTAATTCAGATATTGTAGAAGCGTACAATTTTAACATTTGAGAAGCTCTTTAGGAAAGTCACATTATATAGGAATGGGTAAATTGTCTGAAAATGAAAGATACTATCTGAAGTTAGAATGACAGCTTGAATGTTTATATTTCTAAGTGTATACATCTTACACTTTTTATTATTAGTAGTTAAAAACAATACAAAACAAAATAAAAACCCTCTGTTTTTCACAGTAGTGAGCAGCAATACAAAATGATGTATCATTCACGTATTCATTTCTATTTGGATTATGTTGTACTCCCCTTTACACTTTCCCGAGGAATATGCATATAGCTTACGTTTTTATTAATACATATGGTTTTTCAGAAGGAGAACAGACAGAGCAGAAGTATGGGGGGATGGTATTAGCAAGCTAGTTTGAAATTTAAATTTGCAGTTATTAACCACATACAGCCATGTTTGTAATCAAGAGGTTGGTATACTTTGGGGAAGAAAGTAGTTATGTGTATCTTTTAATTGAGAAAATTTACTCAGAAATGCGATTTTATTTCTGAAGGTAGGTATTCTTAGTATGCTATATTAAGCCATGAAAATAGGAAACTTGAGTATATTGTCAGTTCTTTTTTTATGCTGATGGAAGTGAGGGGAGTATATAACAGATATATTTTGGATTTTGAAAAGGATTATGATGGGGTAGGGGAATGGGTATATTGCTCTCTTGGCTTTTGGCTCAAGTATTTTGGGTTTTTTTTAAAGATTTTATTGGGGAATTTGAGGGAACAGCATTGGTGAATAGGGGAAGGGGAACAGACAAGTTGCTGTCCTTTTGTTCTTCAGTCTAGTTGTGCAGGACGTCACTTCACTGGCCCATGTTGGTATTGTATCATTGCTCTCTTCTCGGGTGAGGCAGTTGCTCGCCGGCCATTGGACAGCCTCTCATGGTGCCTCACGACAGCTTCACTGGCTGCCGGCTGCTCACACTGGCTGCCAGCCACACACGGTAGCTTATGGCAGCCCACTGCAGCTTCACTGCAGCCTACGCCGTCACCGGCGACTCCCAGCAACCCAGCTCCAGGTCGAGCTGTTGTTCACCATCTTAGCTGTAAGAGGGCACAGTGTCACTGTGGGATCCGAACCGGCGGCCCTGCTGCTCAGAGCTCACGCTCCCAAGCCAACTCTTAACCACTGAGCCACTTGGCTGGCCCTGGCTCAAGTTTTTAGAGTAAGAAATAAAAATTTATTTGGTTTCACACCAAGAGAACTTTAACCTATAAGTATTTCCAGCTGACTTGGTATGTTTATCTGTCCCTCCAGCTGCAGTAAGAGCCAATACAAAGACCCTAAGGGCAATATTATAATTAATCTATTTCTTTTTTGCAGCTATGGGTTAGAACCTAGTAATATTATTAGTACCCCAGGACCAAATTGTAAAGCCACTTGTATAGGAAAGGCCTTCAGCCGTTTCTCACAGCCTTCTTATTATCTTCATTAAAAAAAGAAAGAAAGAAAAAGAAAAGTTATGTATATAAGTAGTATATGATATACTACTCGGAATAGGAAATGTTTCACTTGGTTTAGCTTCATCTGCAGTCAGTTCTATTTTTGTGATGGAGAGACTTGGAATCTGAGAGTTGTCCAAAAAATAAGTAAAATATCTCTTTATATGATTCTAAAATCCCTCAGGTATGAGACAGTTGGAGAAATTCTCTGAATAATTGTGTTCAAGCCTAGGAATGAGATGAAATTTATGATGCTGTGAACATTCATTTATTTTCATGGTTTTAGTTTTGAGTAGCATCAGCTAAGAACCTAACAGCTAAGAACATAAACTGGCTATGATAACATTAATTTTCTCAGTAAGTCAAGAATTATATACCACATTATGACTTCATCATAATTCATAATTTGTCTTTTAATGAGAATAGTTTAATTTGCTTTATAAATGTTTGAGCCTCTACAGCCATGAATGAGATGCCGCAAAGCAAATTTATACTGAATTAATATTATTAGACCATGCCTAGGCATAAGCAGGAGACCAACTCATGAGACTTGTACTGTGAAGTGTTTGGGGGCCTAGTGACCATTTCCAGGCTAACACAACGTTAAAGACTTCAAGGAATTTGCTCTTCTATAGCATGTTCTTGATAGCTATATTAACATTCCTATTTTATTGTTCTGATTTTCCACAGCTGATGTCCCATCTCTTTGAGACTCTGTTTTTTTTTAAGGCCTTTATAAGTCTTAGAAGACCTAGACAACAAAATTCTTAATGACAGTTCCACCCCTACCCTCACCCTAAACTAATACATAGGTCAGGTAAGCTCTATGTAAATTACAAACACACACACACACACACACACACACACAAACACATAACGTGTATATATGTAAATATATAAAAACCATTTATGTATATACATTCAGGTAAGCTATGCAGGTCACATAAGTCTCTAGAGCAGCGGTTCTCAACCTGTGGGTCGTTCATTCACAGGGGTCTCCAGGTACTCATATGTGGGCGTATCTGCATGTGGTCCTGGAGACAGATAGAAGAGCGGTGTCTCGGTTCCTAAGACCATAGAAAATACGAAAATATGTGTTTTCCCGATGGTCTTAGATGACCCCCGTGAAAGGTTGAGAACCGCTGCTCCAGAGCCTTGAGGTGATTGGCGTTTGTGGACAGGTTAAGTCTGCTGTAGATTTTATAGCTAAATAAAAACAGTAGAATGGCATAGTTGCAAATGAAGTTATTTTGTATAAAGACTCTGATGTAGGCCTTATACTTATTGACTTATTTCTTGAAGTGTTAATGACTAAAAGTTGACCAGTTTGTTTATCCCCCTTTATATTATAGGGGAATTAATGCTGCATTTTCTCACCTTGTAGACACATTTATATTAAAGGCTTAGCATAAAATTTAAAATATATTTTTTAAAACTTCAATTATAGAATGTATTTAATGATGTGAAATATTTTATTTTGATCTTCAAGTTTTATATACTTTTGGGGAGACATTTCTGACTTTTAATATCTATTTGGATTTGAGATTTATTCAATATCATTTTCTTTCCAGCCCTAAAAATCTATGAACATGAAATAAGATCTGAATTTTAACAGTCATATTTTGGTTTACTGCTTTGGTTTTATATATTAATGCCAGGGTAAAAGTGCTCACCATATACTCAGATTTGGGCGGAGGAGTTATTTAAAAACAAGTTGTGAATTTTATCCAAATGGTAGTTTCTTATGAAAAATAAATTGCAGTATTTTTTTTTCTTCATAAAGAGTTACGTAAATTGCTAGTAACATTGATTAAAATGCCTTTCTACTTCTATAGTATTTAACATGTACTATTATGGTATTAATAATGATTTGTATTTGAGTCCCTCTTACCCCAGAGGTAGAGACATAAGCACTTAGATAGCTGTTATAAAATGTACTAAAATAATAGAAAGCATTATTAGCTAGAGTACGTCATTAATCATTTCTTCAACTAAGCAAGTTTGAATATGGACTAAATTTTTTACTTTGTCTTCCGGTACTTTTTTCATGCAGGGCTTAGTATAATGTGAATTAGATCTGAATAGCTATTTGTTGGACTATATATGCTGTATCACTCTTTATAATAAATAGAAAAATAAGGATTTAATTCAAATTATTCCCATTTATTGGAAAAATTATTTGTGATGCTATTTAACTGTAAACTGTTATATATTCCTACCCTGATCTGATGAAAGAAATATTTCTTCATGAATTTCAACATGAGAATAAATTGTATATTTCCTGTTAATTTGTTTTTATGTAATTCAGATGATATCTGTAATTAAAGTGCTTTATAAATGATAAAACATCATGCAGATGTTTTATGGTAACATTGTCATATCTCTGAAAACAAAGTAGCACTAATTTTCAGATGCCCACATAGCTTTTCATATCACAAATATTTGTATATGTGGGCTTATTTTTAGTTCTGACATTTTACAATTTGTCCTTTGTTTACATGCAGCAAGGAGTTATGGGCGAAGACGAGGTAATTCATTTTTGTTTGCTATGGTATAACTGTTTCTAATTGGGTTTTGCTGATCAGTGTTGTAATTATCCCAGATTTTCTATGCAATGTCTGAAAACTCACAGAAGAATTGTGTTTTGATTTGAGCACTTGTCAGTTTTCAATCCTAAATCTCTTAACTTCTAAAGCACATTTTCATACTAATATGGTTAATAAAACCCTTTTTAAACTGTCCAGATTTTAACTATTTTTTAAAAGTTATTTTTATACCTTTTAAAATAAAGCTGTCATTTATAGTTTGCTTAAGAAATATGTTTAATAAATACTAGAGAAGGTGACATGCAATATGATTTTCAGCTCTCTAAATCTATAAGTGTCTTATCTATGGTATATAATTTACAACTAGTTTATTAGTTTTATGTTTTACCCAGTTGAAATAACAAATACCAAATAGATTATTGCTAACACTGATATATAGAAATCATGTTGCTAATATTTCTCTGTCTTCTAAGAATATAACCCTTTTCCCCCACTCCCCCCCTCTCCAACACGCACACACAGTTACCCTCTCCCTCACAGCAGTCTTCCCCTCAGGGTTCTTATTATCTTAAGGAAAAAGCTAGGACTGTGTGATGCTGGACTATTGAGCTCCCTAGGAAAGCAGCTGACATTTTCTGTGGCTTAAACTCTGCCATTTTTTCATGTGCCGAATTTGAGAGGGAGAAAAGTAGATGGGATGAGAAGAAGCAAAAGTAACTTTATACTACTAGATTATTTTCTAAGTGAACAATAATCATGATATTTATATAGTTGTTATAAGTGCCAACCTTAAATAGAAAGGATTTTCCTTGACCCCTGAAATCTCCCTTGAGCCATGGAGGACAGACAATAATAATAGTGCTCTTTGATAAATTTTATATATGTGTGCAAGTGCTTCAATTTCTTTTTATCTAATCATGAGTGCATGTACTTTGAAAACAAACAAGCAAAAGCATTTACCACCACTGATGACAGAAACTAGTATTTTATATTTTTAAGTAATATTTCCAGTTTTGTATTTTATGTTGTCTGAATTTAACTTCATTTTTGGAATCTGGTTTCTTCAAACGTTTGACTGAATTTGATTCTTTAGTTTTCTAACTAAAAAAAAAAAAATTAGAGCTATAGAAGCTCCAGACTTAGAAAACTGAAGCTAAGTTACATTCTAAAGATGGTTCTTAGCAACTGAGAAGAGTATCAGACTGGTACCTTTTAACCACCAAGGGGACCGCTTTTACAGGCTTCATGCTTTAGATGTGGTCCATCAAAGGAACTGCATTTATTCATTTATTTAGTCATTTTCCTTTTCTAAAAGCAAAAAAAAAAAAACCTCATATTCAAATTTGTTGTTCATGTGGGATGTGTCACACTGAGTTGGTATAATTTTTGCCAAAAATAAGATATGGCTCTTTACCAACACTGGTAGACAAATAGTGCAATTTTCACAAGACTTTTTGAGTTTGTAGTCCAGTTCAGAAAGAACTATTTTTGATTCTTACTTGCTACCTGACTCACCTTTAAACCCAGGCACAAAATCACTGACTTATACTGGAAGCAATTAAAAAAGAGCAAAGATTTCTTTCCCTGCTTTTCAGTCAGAACCTGCTCCTACTCCTACATATTTTTCTAGCCATAAATAGTTCGTCTGCTTCAGAGCTGCCTAGGGGACAGGATTAGAAAGGCGAAGACTCTCACATGGAGAGCTGACTTGAATATATTGAAAACTATCTTTTTGTATTTATTGTCTGTTTAATGTCTTCCATTCCATTCTGAGAGTGAAATATCAGTCTGGGGTTGGAGTAAAGGGAGAAGTGAAGTATACCTTAAGCTCTCTCTCTCAATTTAAGATGTTTCTGTATTGTAATCTGTCCCTTTAATAAAGGATTAAAGGGTTGCTGTGCTCCAGAAGGAATAAAAATGTGTAGAGTATTTTAAATAGTAGAAATAAAGAATCTTTTTAAATTACTGATACGAACCACAAAGCAATCTTTATCTAGTGGGTAAACCCAAAGCTTGAGTTAATAGATTACAAATGGAATAAGATAGGAGAAATAATTTTAAAGGGAGTAAAAGTATGGAAGTTCAACTAGAGAGCTTGGATTTATTCATACTGTTTAGTTATTCAGATTTATGTGCTATAATAATTAAGGAATTTGTAATACAGCATACCAATGTATTGCTTTAAAGTTGATCCAGGATTTTCTGATTTGATTAGATTTAATTTGAATTCATTTGATTTGTAAACAATCTTGTGAAGTAGCCAGGGTAAGTGTATACCGCATATTGTCACCACTACCAAATCCTTTTGTGATGAAATAAAGGCTGAAATCCTTCATCTTTGATAAATACTTTTGATAAATGTCAGAGAATGGGCAAAATCTCCAAAGCATGAAAAAAAAAAAAAAGACATTGTTCAGCAAACTATGACCCACAGGCCAAGCCTTCTGTTTTGGTAAACAGAGTTTTATTGGAACACATTCGTTTACTTTTTGCCTACTGGCCTTGGAACTACAATGATAGCAAAGGTGAGTGGTTGCAATGGAGAATGCATGGCCTGCAAAGTCTAAAATAGTTACTCTCTGGCCCTTTACAGGAAAAATGTACTGACCCCCTCCTCCTTGAAAAGATTGACTCTGCTTGCTCTATACCTATACCAATTCTTAAACGAAATTGTAGTGAACTTTATTTTAAGGCAAATATATTATGTCTAGAAATTAATTTACAGATACGTGTAGGGTACTAGGTTATAATTGATTTTTTAAGTTTACTTATTCATTCTGTATGAGGGAAGGACAAACCTATTATTGGGTCAGAATATTTTCAAGTGATAAGTGTACTTATAGCTCCATTCTAAGTTTTTTGGAAAAACATGTCTGATCAGTCAGTGATTCTGATTAAACAGGTGATGTTCAAGAGAGCTCAGTCCTGGACTTACTTCTTTTGTTTTGAAACTTTTTTTATCCTTGTATATTAAATAAAAATCATGCCATCACTTTGGTGGGTTATCTACCCCAATAGAGAGGCTGCTCTGTCTTAGAAGATGGGAAGAATATTCATATTCATGCTTAATTAATATAGTTTGTGTTTTTATTTTTAAAATAATATTCAGTAAATGAAAATACAGAATAATACAATAAGATCAAAGAACCATGTGAGATCAAAGAACCATGCTTAGCTTCAAGCTGTAAGTTGACTAATTTTATGTAAACGTTTTCATTTTCTCTCCTGCCTGCTCCCATTGATATGTTAGGATATGTCTTTATCCTGAGTTTCCAGAATTAGGTTAAAATCTGAAGTCAAGTATAATTACTAATGTTTGGGCATATTAGCATAACCACCACAGTCACAATCCCACTGTAATCTTGGTTATAACTAATCTCATATTACATTATATTAATTCTTATATTTTCTATTTGTACCTTTTGCTATAACAAAACTTGGATTTGCCTTTCATTTGTGTGTTTGTAGGTATGTTTATACACATGCATGTGTGTGAATAGTTCTACATTTGTTAAAGAAATAAAATCTCTAACTTAAAAACAAAACTTCCCACAAAGAAAACTCCAGGCCTAGATGGCTTTACTGGAAAATGAACCAGAATTTAAAGAACAAAGAACAGCAATTTTATAGAACTATTCAGTTCTGTATTTATTTATTCATTTTTGTATTTATTTATTCATTTTTGTATTTATTTAGTTCTCTATATTATATATATTTTTTCTTATGCCAATTTCAAAGGTTACTTTTTTCAAGGAATTTATTTCCTTAGTTTTGAATTTATTATTATAAAGTTGTTTATTATATTTCCATTTTTTGCCTTTTAATGTTCATAGATTCTGTGTTGATTGATGTCCCCTTTTTCATACCTAGTGTTGGTAATTTAAGTTTTCTTTCTTTCTTGATGAACTTCTTTTAGAGATATATCAATTTTATAAGTTTTCAAAGGGTTATCTTTTGGCTTTATTGATTTTCTTTCATGTTAGTTTCTGTTTTATATGTCATTGGTTTTCATTTTTTATTTCCTTTATTCTTTATCCTACTCTCTTTGTATTTAATTTGCTACTTTTTCTGTCTTTTTATCACAGAACTAGGATTATTTATTTTAAGCATTTCTTGCTTTATAATATACATTTAAAACTATAAATTTTCCTCTAAGTATGGAAATTTTTCTCTAAATATGTAGCTTTTCTACATCCCACAGATTTTATATTGTGTTTTCATTGTTATTCAATTTCATTCTTTTGGGGTATAAGAATCCAAAAATATATCCTAGTTTCAGAGCAAAAAAGGGTAAAGGTAATTTAAATTTGAATGAAAACTATTGTAAATATTTTAGTCCAAATCAGTTTATAATCAAAGTCTACTTCTTTCAGCACATATAATTTTACCTTTATTGCCAGTCATTTTTATGCACTAAATATATGTGTGTAATTCTTAGAAAGTATGTGTGAAGTATACTGTACATGGAAGACATAATTATTTAGTGGTTCTCCTTTTATAAGCATATTAATTTGGGCTATAGGAAAGGATAATTGCCAAGGTAAAATGTAGTATTTTTGTTATTGGTGTTTGTTGTTAACTTCTCTTTTAATTTAACTCTATAGCTTTTATGGCTTTTAGAAAGAAAGTGGTCATTATTTTCCAGCACTGAAGATTCTTGTTAGTATGGTTAGTGTGTGATATGTGTTAGCCTTTTTATTACATCCTTTGTTCAGCCATACTTTGGTTAGTAGATTATAGACATATAGATTATAGATTTTTGCTAGTTATTTTACTAGCTGTAGTATTTATTACAGTTAGAACATTATTGTAGTTAATAATATAGAATAATAGTCAATGCAGTTATAATACAAATATACTTACAATATTGTAGTTAACATAAAAGTGTGTCATTTTTGAGCCACCTCTCTATCTGACATTGCTTATATAGTGATTTCCTTGGTCATTGCATCCACAAACCCTAAATATTTATGATCCATACT